GACCTTGGCGCCTTTTGGCGCCTAGCGCTTTTTAAATCACTGTAACTAACTGCACGTGAAACTTATAATGGAACTAAGTTTTCATAATTGCCACAAGATATAGACTTTATAACTCCTGGAGTTACAGCAGAACTGGTATAAGAGTGATATTGTAATTGCCTTGCACTTCTGATATAAGAAAATCACAAGTGTTTGTGGTAGGACTTTAGTACCTTGTAAGTTTCCTCATAGACCGGCAAGTACCGAAGTTCATCCCCAGACTCTCCCCATGCCTCAATCATATAAAGAGCCTTATTCCTGTTATTCACAACAGTTTGAGGATCATCGATAAGTTTGACCATCTCATCAAGCACCCGCTCTGCAGCAACCTCAGAAAAAGCTTTCTCACAATTTTTCACACAGGTTTCAAGAAGGACCAAAGCAAGATACTGAACCCTAGGATCCTTCAACATGATTCGTTTTTTTATGCCACGGATGAACTCAATGCTGTTATATTTTTCGCTGTTAATCATGTCACAGATCTCTAGATTGGCAGACCAGTCAGGTCCCTCTAAGTTCTCCGATGTGGCCTCCTCCACAATCTTTTCTGCTTGGTTCTGACCTTGAAATAATTCCTTCATCTTAAAGCTCATAGAACTCACGCCATCTTTCATCTTCCGGCTCACCTCCGCCCCACCAATCTTCAGACGCTCACCAAAGGCACTGACTTTTTCCATCAGATTGTCGCTCATTTTCGTGCTCCAAATTAATCTATAAAAGCAGAAACAGAAAACTATAGATTAAATAAAAGTTAAAAAAAAACAATTGGAGGTTAGCATTCTCGGAGCACAAGATACAGGATGAGAGATCAATACTCAGATATAATGGAGTATGGACACAGCTTCACAAGCCTTTATTGAATATCCAAGAAAATAAAATTCTTCCGTCCCAATGAGAAGCCATTAAGAAGTTTTAAGAGATCAAAGCTACCAATGCATATTGAACTAAAAACCATAAAGGGAACAGGGAAAATAAACAAAATAATCAATCTCACAGAGCAAAGGAAGCAATAGTCAAAATCCTACTGCTCCTGATGGATAGAATTGCTGTTACAAGAATTAATGGCAGGCTGGGTTATTAACCTTCCCCACAAAACAAACAAAAAAAAGAAAAAAGAAAACCCATTTCAGGAAGGCATCGAAGAACCAGAGAAGAAACACAAATCGTAATACTAACCATCACGATGGAGACACGACCTTATACTGTCTAAACAGCATCAGTCCTATCTAAAGACTGAAGTAGAAACATAATCTAGGGTTTCGTTAATACATCATACTTGGTTAGCATCATGTTTCCCTCTTTTTATTCTTCTTCTCCTTAAGAACGGCAAGAAAAATTTTTACCAGGAAAAGGTACAACTGGAGGAGCAAATTACAATGGGATTCAAAACGATTGAGTCAACAAAATCGAACAAGACACATGGAGATCGATAAACGATACACGGATAAGAGATCGGTTCTTTACCAGTCGTAACGAGGACCGGAATCAAAGATCAAAACAAGAGATGGTGGACCGAGCGATCAGAATGTTCGCGTGATGCAAATCGAAATAACCGACCAGATCGGGCAGGGAAGGGACAGTAATTACCTCGAGATCGATCGGCAACGGAGGTCGGGAGGAAAGGGTGCAGAAGCACAAAGGAAAGGGAAGGGTGAGTTGTTGCCTTCGCCTCTTTTTCTTTTCCGCTGTCTCCCGTCTTCTGGTTCCCTTTCGCCGCTGCTGCTTCCTCTCTCACCCTTTTCGCCGTGGAGTCGAAGTCTTCGCCGTTGCTTTTGTAATTTTCTTGCTCTGTTGGTTCCCGATTTTGACCTCGAGCAACATCTTCTCCACGCACCCGCTGGAGCTACCGACCCTACGCGTGCGACGAATGGGAAAGAAAAGGTGGAGCCCGAATGGGACGCGCCGCGGAGTGCGGTGGGTAGACGACGAAGGTTTGTTAGCATATAGACGTCGGTGTCGGGCTAAGTTAGGCAGGAGGCGATCTCGGCCGTTGGATCAGCCGCGGCTTGCTATCACGAGCCATTGGATGCAATTAGCAGGAGGCGACGTCGGCCGCATGGGCCGGCCCAAAAAAAGGGTAAATCCGGTGAAAGGCGGCAGGAATATTATATATACGGTATATATACATTATATATATATGGTATATATACATTACCATATATGGGTCGTAAAGATTAGGTAGATTTCATTATACATGTATATGGGTCCACTTCACGTCATCTCTGTCGACGGCGGCAGTTCAACAGCTTCGTTCGGGTGGCGTTGGGAGTGTTATTTGGGAGAGCTGCAAAAGTGCGCGGCTTACTTTTACATGTAGAATACCGCAAGCAACAGTAGAATGAGGGATTGATCTGCCAAAATTGGCACGCGTTGTTTGCGTGGTGACATCAATGTGATGCTGCTTCTAAGAAACCAAAACTGAAGAGCCAAATAGATGCGTTTCGATATTAATTCCAATTTCATGAATGCAGAAGACGTCTGAAATAATCTTATGGAAAGGAGAAGGATATGAATGCAATAGTAATTAGGATATGGTTACACGAAAGAAATTTGATAAGGCATATTTTTGCACCGCCCACGTGGATCTCAAGCAGACACGACGATGCAGATATGAAATCTCAAGTACGATGTGGTGTACAGTACACACATGACGGGTTATCGCCTCCTCCGTACGAATGATTTCATTACAATATAGCCATCCCGAAAAGCTCGGGACGTCACCGTGCATGTCGGTCGGCGCTCGTACGGAAACTTAAGTCGACAGCCTGAGGAGTCGGTCGTAGTAAATTAACGTCGTACGACCAACTCATCCTCACAGGTATAAAAGCTAACCCTTCCTAATCATGGCACTTCGAATACTCAACTCTTTCTCATTTCACCAAAAGCTAATTTAAGCTTAAGAGGGGTCGAGTCGAGAAATCCTCCTCCCCCCGACTTGTGTGCAGGGACCGGAGCCCAAGGAGCATGCGGTCAACCCTAGGGAGCCCCCAACTTGGAAGCTAAAGCCCAAACCCGACCCGCAATAGGTGGACGATCTTGTGCACCCGGGATAGAACCAAACTGTGCCAGCTCGCTCTACCACGGTGTAAAGGATCCCCATCATTTTGGCGCTAGAAGGAGGGCTCGATGCTTGCACCTCGGTCGAGCAAATTTGATCCCGAGCCGTGCACCTCGGTTATGAGCCCTTGGCTCCCATATGGGAGGGAGCACTGATAAAGTCATTTAGTCCAACATTAGTTGAGGAGTACGAGAATCAAGGGCTCGTAAGTCCACTATGTCTCTCTTACCTTCAAAGGTGCTTTTTTGAGTTCACATGCTCCGAAATGATAAAATTGTGCAGGTACGACCATCACCCAAAGCGAATAATTTGATCGATTGATCAAATGATTCCTTATTAAGACCTATCTCAACTCAACCCCCAAACTCTAAGAACACTAATGTCATCTTTTGTCGAACTCTCCAAACTCCAAACCCCCCTCCCCCATGTCTTATAAGACGAAAACCAATATCTATGATCAAATCATAATTTTTTAATAAAAATACATTTAAAAAATGAATATAAGATAATTAAATTATATGATCTTGATTATTTTGATTAAGATATATTAAAATTTGATTAAAATTATCATTCAATAAAAATAAAAAGGAATCCTCCTCTCTAATTATCTTTCGACCTTATCATAAGATCTGACAGAAAATATATATACAAATCATACACTAAAGATCTAAAATATATATACAGATCATAGATTAGAGATAATATTCTCTCACCTTTAATCCTTATTATAGTCACGTGAAAGAGTTGAGAAAAAAAAAAGTCTAGTTTCGTATATAGTGTTTTCCTAGTGATCGAATTATGGTGCATTATCAAATCAGACAAAAATAACATTAAAAGGTACAAAAAAATCTGATATTAATATATGATTACCTGAATTCAATTATGACCTTATATTATTTCTTAATTTTATGCTAATAGAGATTTCATCTTAATATCTTTCCTAACTATATCAAATCTTTTTATCTTTGGCAACTGTTACCTTTTTTACTTACTTATGAGTTAAGATATTTATCAATTAAATTAAATTAATTGAAAAATTAAATTGAATGATATATGATATTAAAAAAATAAATTGAATGATATTTTGAACCCTCAAATCTTATATACAGTTGCTAAACAAATGTCCTAAGTCTAAAATTCGTCGGATAAAATTTTAAGCTCTTATTTTTTTTATAACCACCAATAACTAAGTGATAGAATATTTATGACTCATGTCGTCCTTCTATATATACAAAGTTAGTATATAATAGAAAATTATAAACCATCTTCTCATTCATAATATAAACTCCCTTCTCTGTATTTAAGAAAGATATTTGTAAACCCCTTTCTCCTCTTTTATGACAAGAGAAGAATCACAAACTTCTTTCTCCTCTTTTAATATTATAAAAACATATTCTAAATAATAAGTAGGAATCTCTCTCTCTCTCTCTCTCTTTTTAAATTACTCAAAGTCTATATTTAAGTATCTCATATTACTAACTTAAGCATCAAAATGGTTAGATCGAGAAGTCTTTCTCAACCTTAGTCTTCGTGTAAGTGGCACATTAGAAGTACAATACTTCCATCTCAAAGTCACCTTAGAGTCATCTCCGACATTTCAAACAATCTTGCTTATACATTTCTCGATCATATCGGGCTAATTAAGATGACAATAATTTTTTCCTCTAATACTAAGATATATAATACAAAATCTTGAACTCTTAATACTTGCTAAGTGAACTTGGAATACTATAATCATTATAATATCTCAAATGTCAATTAAAAATTTTAAAACATATTTTTCCTAAAAATTATAGTGTATATATATATATATAATCTGCTATTTAATAATAATTTTTTGTTAAGGAATGACATTTTATTGGAATAGTCCATATTTTACTATAAATTTGTACATAAACAAATTGATTTAGGAGAAGTCTCTGTCGGACTTACATTAAGATACTCAAACACACGTTATTGACTTTGCAGACGACTTAGTTGAATCAGCAGTAAAAGAAGACTTGGTGTTCTTCTTAACACAATGAATCTATGCCATACATTTGGAAGCATTAGGCTCCAAACACCACTACAAAAATTCCTTCACTCCAAAAGCAATAGCTAAGAAAAATATGCTCATCACTCTCAATTCTAATTTTCTTCATTAACATGAGTATGCGTAATACAATCAAAATTCATCAACCCTATTAATTGTCATGAATTGAATAGAAATCAACTGTGCTCACAATTCATCTGTCAAACTAGTATGTGTAATTATTTTGCATGCAATAATGTAACCATGTAATTTATTGTACAAGCTTGACCATCGCCTAATTTATGTATGATCTTTATTCATGTGCTTGCCATGTGGGTCACGCTTTCTAAGAAGCCCAGTCCGTCAACGCCACATTTAAATTGGGCTCGGCGGTCGGTCAACATTTATCGACACGATGCGATGTCGTCGTGTGGTGTCCATCCAATTTCGAGGCACACGAACCGTTTGCTCCTCCTCTCCTTTCTGTCGGTCAACCTCTCGGTAAAACTCTGATGGCCACGTGTTCGCTTCTGGAACGTCAAACACCCCGGTCCCCGCTCTTGGACCAAGTAGCGGATCCGGATGCCGAAACCGATCGACGGATGAGATCCAATCACTGTCGATTACAGGGTTTTGAAGCTGGAACTTAGCCGTCGGATCGAGGTTTGTCGGTGGAGTTACGTCGTTTGCTTTTGGCGCAAGAAAGCCTGGGCGGACTGCCGACTGTCCTCCGGTATTTGTACTCTACCTTCCTTCTGACCACTGTGTCCTCATCTTCTCCTCGCGTTCTCCCGGATCGAGAAGGTGCGGAAATCACCGCCCCCGGCTCCCGAGTTCGGATGAGAGAGAGTGGCCTTCCTGCAGAGATGTATCAGCTAATCGTCTGCCTTTTCCAATTTAGGTATCCGTCCTCCCCTTCCGCTCTCGATTTCCTATCCTCCCTTTGGCTTGATCCTTTTTTTTTTTTTTCTTTTCTCTTTGTTGTGTTGATCCTGGTCCTGGATTAGGGTTATGGTTTGTATGATTGGGGGGATATTCGCGAAGGTAAGCTGTGATCTTTGTCAGTGATTGCCTGATTGGTCTGGAATCGAGTGATCAAGTAATCTTTGATGGGATTTGGTATATGGTCATGATGCGTATTGATCAAGAGGGTCAATTCTCTTGTGAATTTCACATGCATGACCGTTGATTCCCTGCTATCTGTGATTGCCTGAATTTTGTCTGAAATATTCTGTTAGTTGTCGCTGGTGTTGGAATTTGTGCTACATCTCATAGTATCAATGTTTGCTGCCCATCCGTGGAAAGAAGAATCAATTACTTGAATTAACATAGCATTTTGTTGATGTTGGATGATTGTTTGTGCTTGATTCCATGTAGAGACAGGTTAGGATTTGTGATGATGATGTTTGTTTGTTTTTTTTTTTTACAGTTTCAACTTTGTCAGTGCAGACAAAGAAGCGACTTTGCTTGTCTGATTGGCATCTTTATGTTACGATCGAATTCTTGCCATTTATTGTTAGCGTCCGATTTTATCTAAGATGGATGATGCTCAGATGCTTGAAAAGCTGTTTGCATTATTTATAAGATTGTAATCCGTGGTTTACTTATGCACTATCGTTACATGTTAAATAACTTATTTAAAAGAACTGCATGCAGAGATATTTGGGGAAATCAGCAGATGTGTCAATGCATCTGATTTGTAACAGCAAAGTTACTTGGATTTTGCAGTCAGGTTAGAATATATGGTACTGGTATGACTAGTGCTTAGCCTTCTATATAGTGTGTGGGCTGTGGTGGTGAGTGGAAAATGCAATAAAGCAAGGATATTTTGGGGTTATCAGCCTGTTTTTAATCTTTGTTGACTACGAATGCCTCATAGAATTAAGAAAGTGCAGTGGCACATTTTTAGCCATGTGGCTGTAAATAATGGATCCTTTGGAATGGGAATTATGAAACTGCACCTGTAAAGGGATTAGTTGGAGAACATAAATCTTCAATGTTCTCTCTTTATAATAGCAAACTGTTCAGGATTTTTGATAGACCAGCAACGGAGGATGCAGGGTGTCAGGGACAGAAAGGAAACATATCTTCTTTCCGCTTGGCCTGTGTTTTGATTTGACTCTCTTGATTCCTGTGTTGGAGATGTTGATATGTGGTTTCTACATTTTTTTCCAAGATCATTCATACAAAGAATTAAACCCTGCCGCTTCTCTTTGGTTGCCTATTTTGGCATACCATCTAATTGTGCCTTTTGTGGTTATTGATTGTTATTGTAATTATCTCTTTCGCTGATCAAACATGGTTCATATTACCATTAGAATGCCTTCATACTGGTGGTATTGGTCACAGGCTTTCATATGTAGCTATGAACCTAGGCTTGTACTCATGTATATCAAGTTGGGAGTTGTCTTGCAAGTCATTAAAAAGAAAATAAGTAAAGATGAAAAATGAGTTTTGAAAGATTGGTGATCTTGTTATCGATCATCTTCCCTTCTTGATGTGCTTAATTCCTTATTATGATTTTTGTTGCTGTTGTCTAGACTCTTCTTTAAATTTTGTTTATCATTGTAGCTCGCAGACATGACACTTTCTAGTACTTAGTGATGATACATACAACTTTAGGAGCATCTCAATATTGGTTATGCCCAAAAATTTACTGTTGTGGGTGGGTGATCTTATATGTCATAATATACTTGAAAATTGTGGTGGAACAATAGCATGCGAGTGTAGATATAAGTTGAGCTTTTCTTGTTCTTTAACTAAGAGAAGAATTGTAGATATATGTACAAATGGATAGTTTCCATTTTTCAATGGCATAGACTTTTACAATGACTACATTAATGCATTCACTGGAATTGTATGGTTTTCTTCCTCTCCTTGTTAGAAGCATGATGATTAACTTGATATGCCTTTATATTCATATATATAACAGCATAGAAATATTTATTTTCTTTTTAATTTATATTTGGGATGCCTTCACATCCAAATTGTCCATGATATTCTGATCTATAAATGAATTTCCAATAGATCCATAAGTCTTCTTGGTCCATTCTGTACGACTTAATAGCCATACTTCTCTATTTTTTTTTATTTGATGTGCTATTTTTTGGACTAAATGCTTATTATTTGTCACCATTATTTAATGAGGCTTCTCCTTTGTATAAAGGGGAGTCTTTCATCACTGTTCTTTTACATTTTTGTTGCTTTCTTTGGTCTGATCTGATTATTGCTACTGAGATGTAAAAACATTTTCCATAGATATTATTGCTATGCGGCTTTTGTATATTTCTTTATTTTTCTAGGTATTCTAATAGGATTACTCTATAAGTGCATCTTGAATATTTTGGATGCTTTTGCAGGGAAACCTTGTTCACTGTCTTCCCAGACATGATATTTTCTGGTTATTCCCCAATGCACGGTTTTCTGTTATTGTAAAAAGTTGGCAGGCTTCGTGGAGAAAATTACATTGATAAGCATTAGTCAGTGGTTTGCAACTCTTTTTGTGAGTAAAAATGGAGTATTTGAACGTAAAGGTGTTGGATAAAGGCAAAAACTGTGATCTCAAGAGAAAGAGAAATTCTGATGTTTGTTCCATTGACATTGGCCATGGCTTACATCAGCCTATTGTAGGTCAATCCTCTTTAAGGGCCTGCACGAGAACCAGATGTAAAACCAACCTATGTTGCTCTCCTGAGAACCATATTCTCAAGAATTATCGCAATTTCACACAGAGTGGGTTACCCCAGCAGGTTCTGTTTTATGAGAATGGTGAATGGAATGATTTTCCAGCAAACATTGTCAGTTTGGTACAGGAAGAATTTAAATCAAAGAAAGCAATTACAGAAGTAGGTTATCGGAATCAGCAATGTTTGTTAGATTTCATTCACATGGTTTGTGTAGTTCTGCATACAGGTCTGAAGCCATTAGCATGGATTGATGATCATGGAAAATGCTTCTTTCCAGAGTCATCAAATAGATGCCATCACTCTGACAAAAAAATTCAGGCTTACATGAGTTCTGAATCAAATGGGATACATGGAAACAACACTCATTTTGAGATTTCCATCAATGAAGCTGAAAGCTCAAGTTCAGTAGCTGATGATGAGATTATGTCTAATATCAAGAGGGTCAAGTGCGAAGAAAATTTTGTCAGTCATCAGAATATTTGGTCTCCAGGCAATGAAGTAGTAGGAGAAAATGAACCAGGTTCTATTTTCCCTTTAGATATCCCTGCTTTTGGAACATTTCAAGCATCTGCAGGTGGTCATCGTGTTAGTTTGGTGCAGGATATGTTACTCCAAGGGTTGGGAAAGTTTATTGATGCAAAGGATATTGTTGGAATACTTAGGACTCCATTGAGAAATGATTTAGGTTTAGATCGGTTTGATCATTTTCAGAAGCAGGTTGAAGTCACTAAAATGGCGCGTGGCAATGCAAATGTCCGCTATGCATGGCTTGCTTCTTCCAAGGATGCAGTGGAGGAGATGATGTTACATGGAATTCTGAAGCGGTCTATGCAGAAGTGTCTTTATGGCAATGGCATTCATCTCGCCCCTGCAAATTGCTCCAACATCTGGTAAGGTTTTGCTTTGACATAACATTCATCATGTTTGTGCACCTTCAGGAATACCTTAATTTTTGTCAGGGAAGGCTGTCAATAGTTTCTTATCCTGATTACTGTCTGCTCCTGTTTCTCTTCTTGGAATTTTTTTATCGATAGTCCATTGTGAAGAACTATGACTTACTTGCATATGCTATTACAGTACCAGCTACTCTGATGTTGATGAAAGTTGCGTTATCCACCTTATGTTGTGCCGCATTGTAATGGGAAATGTGGAACTTATTCACCCTGGATCTGAACAGTGTCAACCTAGTAATGAAAACTTTGACACTGGTGTAGATGATCTTCAAAAGCCAAGGCATTATATTATATGGGACATGAATTTGCTTACCCATATCTATGCAGAATACATAGTGACTTTTAGGGTGACCTCCAAAGTTAAAGGTAATGCTGTTAGTGTGCTTTCTTTGCATGACTATAGCTTTCTTTTTGAAAATCATCAATAGGATTTTGAAAAGATTGTATGTTTATGTGATTGCAGAATGTTTGCTTGGGAAGGAAAGTATATATAATGTATCTGCCCTCAAAAATTCTAGTCCATCTCACTGCTTATTACAGGTGTGTTCTACAATCAGATATTCCTCCATATTTTATAGAAACTCTGCACTTGGAATGAGGTTTGAGTTGAGAAAAGTCTGGTTGTTCCATAAATAGATTCTTTGTCTGAACACATGGAGATTTAGGATGCTGAAAGTTTATGTATTGCATACATGTCAGATATGTAGGATACTTTTGGATACATGTTAGATATTTTATTTGAAATATCAAAACTGTAAATTAATTATCAAAGTTTAGATACTTCTAATATACTTAGGTGATATTGAATAGATAATATTAGGGGAACTTGTTTCTCTTGGATGTAGATTTTATATTATAGAGATGAATACAAGATTATGTAGATTAATTATATTTATTTATTTATTTATTTATTTGTGTGTGTGTATATATTGTATCAATCATCAAACAGTGTGGAGAAATTCTGTGTTACCAAAAGCGTGTGTGCAGAAATAATAGTTAAGTGCTTACTATTTATCATGATATATCAATACCTGTTTATAGATTATAGACAAATTTCAAGCTTTGTTGTATACTATTATATTATCAATCCATATCAGATCTGTATAAATATTCCACATCCATATCTGTTTTTCATGGCTATTGACATTTGTATGTTCTAGTGTTTTTACTATTTGTGGACGGGAGGAAATCAAAATTTTATTTTAAGTAATTTCATTTTGAGATCTTACTTTGTGCAGCTGATAATTCATCAAAATTTGTATGACTGGAATGGTTGATTGATCATTTGTCAATTCTGTTTTCTGTGATATCCAGATTTAATATTTGCTAATGCAGCCTTTTTTTCTGCATCTGAAGTGTTTTTTTGTCTTTTAGTTATCAGTGAATGCCTGTTATCATTGTTGTTATTTTCCTTTTTTTTACCTTCAGGATAAGACTTTTGAACCATCTCCAGCCTTGGGCAATCATTCTCAAGTTCCTGTGTCAACAAGAACACCTCCAAGAATTCCAAGTTCACCATGGATGCCCTTTTCAATGTTATTTGCAGCCATTTCAACTAAATTGCCTCAGGGGGACATGGACCTGGTTCACACTCATTATGATGACTTTAAGGTCTAAACAATTCACTGACAAGTTGTGTTATTTACTCCTGAGCTAATCTGGCCTCCTAAATAGTTACTGTTTTTTCTACCAGAAGAGAAAGATAAGCCGAATTGACTTGATCAAGAAGTTAAGGCAGATAATCGGGGACAAATTGTTGGTTTCTACTATAATGAGGCTGCAACAGAAGGTTTGATTTTCTTTATTTTTTTTTATAAATGCTGCAAATGAGTGAAGCTGCAAATAGAATAGGCCGAGTCCTGTAACTAATCAAACCACTCTTTTAAGTTTTAAGTTTACACTTGCTGGTTTGTTTTGATCCTATTCCTTATTCACACCATTCAGTCCTAGCCCATGATAATGAACAGAGTCTTTGGCTTGCTCAAAGAATTTTGTTGATGACTATTACTCCAGTCGTCTTCCATGTCTCTCAACTTTTCTATTCTTTGTCTATGTACATCACCTTTTCCCTTCCTGTGACCATTTGGAGTCACTCTTGGTCTACTAGGGCCACTAATGAGGCAAACCAGAAGTTTCAGTGGAGCATCCTAGATGTTGTGTCAAGGTTGCACTATGAATTTGCATGTCTTTATCACCAAGGGTTGAATTTTCTCACTTGTGGCAACGGTTCCATCCTGAATCAACTTTGAACTCCATTTTTGGGCTTTTTTCTTGATTGTTTGTTGACTGACAAGCACATATACATTTCAGATATAGCAAGTAGAGTGAAGTGGTATCCATCTAGCTAGAGGTTCTGAAGTTTTTCACTGTTAGTTTCCTACTTGTATATGACCCTTAGTCCATCTGCAGTCTCTCGTTGTGTCAGCCGAGCTACCTTATGCGTTGTATAATTTTTTTATAGATTTCAACTCCAGGCATATCCTGCCCTTTCAGTGTTTCAGCTTGATAATTTCTCCACAATACTAGTAAATCAGCTTACTTAACAATCTTCAGCTGACATCACAATTAGTAAATCTGATTTCCTATTTTGTTTAAGGCTTTTGTTGCAGATGATTTGTTACTAGTATCAAAGGTCAAGGCATCCTATCTTCTTGTGTTCTCATATACAGATGAGAACAAGTTTTTATAAGTCAGTAAAGCAGGCTGTCAATGTCTTATGACGTCTTTAACTAAAGTTTGCTCATTAGCAGTTTTTAATAAAGGAGCAGCCATGATTGTCAATATCTAAAGCAACTTCTCTAAAGTTGCTCACTAGGAGTATTTACTAAAGCAACCACCATGGTTGTCAATATCTCAAATGACGTCTCTCACTAAAGTTGCTTATTGACAGTATATATATATAAATATATATATTCTCAGTCATCATATTGCTCTCTTCTCATGAAGTCATCACCATTTGATTAGAGTGTTAAAAAGAGTATGGGATGGAAGAGTCTTTTGCATGGTGTAATAACTCCATGGTTCTGTTGTTCTCTTGCAGTTACCACCTATGGCCAGACACGAGCCACCAAAGTCCTGGTCTCGTAACTTGCAAAACATGTCTTGACAAGGTGGAAGCATGGAGCTGTCTGTGTGTGGTCTCGCAAGTCTCACTCACATTTGAAGTAAGTTTGCTGGTTTCAGCACTCACTCCTTACGGTAGGTTTACGATCTAAGAAACTTGTTTCAAGCTGTGTACTCTTTGTAATAATAATGCCTGTCTTTGTTGTATCATTTGGCTCGCTTGATGTAATTGTAAAGTGGGAGTCTTTTTTGGCCTATCAAACATATGATATCTATGTGAAATCTCTCTCACCTTCTCTCTGTATGATAAGCCTCCGAAAATTAAAACCCATGCTGCTTGTGTAAGTTTGCCTTGTCTTTATTATGGAGACTGTCAACTCTCACAGCAAGCAGGTAATGGGAGGATTATGTTCCTGTCCCTGCAAATCATATAGCTTAGCTAAATGAACACGTTCCTAACGCTGGCAATCATTTACTATCTTAATCTGTAGATCCTTCTACGTATTCACCGAGGAGTCATCTCCACAGAATGCAAAACCACAGTATGGTCAAATCAGGATCCTCATGTGAACCCCTCCGTACAGGGCCGGCCCTACCTACATTAAATGCAAACCAGCAGGTGAATCATATATACGTGAATCAAATTCCTCACCCGGTTGCTGTGGTACTTATTCTAACTTGCAGCAAGGAAGAAAGAGAGGAGAAGAGAGAGAGAGTGACAGAGAGAGAAGAAAAGAAAAGGGGGACCAGAGGGAAGAGTAAAGAGGAAGAAGAAGCAGAAGAAAAAATGAAATGCGAAAAAGAGGAGGGTGGGTGAGTGTGCGTGCATGTACGCGTGAGACAGGGCCTTGAATGCGGGGCGGACAAGGAGTGGGTGGTCGCGTCGCCATCGCAGGATGCGAAGCCCGAGCTACCACCACCCTCCGTCCTGCTCGCCGATGTGATGGGACGAAACCCGCCCACGCCTGCCTGTCTCCCTCACCCCGCCCATTCATCTGCCAATCATAATGCAATCGAGTGCCTTATCATTTATTTCCACCCCCCCTCTTTCTCTCCATCTCTTTCCTCCTCTTATCCTCGCCTTCTTTCTCTTCCTCGCTTCTCGTGACATAGAAGTCTATATGTAAGTGTAAACTTTGCAGGTGTTACTGTTCGGTGGCAGTGCGATGCATTGATTTGGGGTGACCGTTTCGGAACCGAGCGAATGAGTGCTTGCATCTTCCCATGTCATCGTTTTCTGCTGCTGCTCCTGCTGCTCCTGCTCGATGTGTGTGTGAGAGAGAGAGAGCGAGAGAGAGGAGGATGACACCGTTTTGAACTCCCCCGTGATTCTCGCATAATTGGACTCATATGATCAGGGAGGGAGGGAGGCAGAGGTGCAGCATTGCTGCCACCGTTTCCAATCAATTAATTGCAATCTGCTACATGTACGTAGCTGACTTCCCAGCAAACCTCCAAATTGCTACCCAGACGTAGTATCTCTCCATATATATGATATGTATATAATCTAGTATCTGACTGCTTTTGCGTATATATTATTATCTGTCCCATTACAATGGAAACTCTCTTATGTTTCCTATTCCCCACCTAAACCCTACCATTATGACTGCTGAGGAATGAAACCACATAACTCAAATGTAGACGTGTTCTTCATTTTGTGGAGGATTTGAGCTCCTCCCACAAATGATCCTTGCAGGCCCTCCACCAGCTTGCAGGCTACGTCAAGTCAATTCAGTGTGATGGTAACCTATTGATACCTCTACATTCCCTTCACTATCCTCACTGGCCTTTTCCTTATATTATTTGCCACATCGGTTTCTCTCTCTCTCTCTCTCTCTCTGCCTTTGTCATCTCGCTCTCCTCCAAACGTATAACTATTCGAAGGAGAAAACGTTGTCATAAAATGAATCCCATCTTGGAATATATGCCAGTCTTGTACCTGTCTTGCTGAAGAAATACTACTGGAGAGAGAAACACACAACCCACTCCATACCAATCACAACTCAAGTACGCATCATTTTTCATCCCTTCTTTTCTCTTCCTTCCTCTTTCTCCATACGATACCTTTGATCATTTTGACTCGACCAGTAAGAGGACATGCTTGGACGGGCCCACGTCGAAGGAAAGCAAAGGATCAAAAGGTTGGATGTGTGCATGATGCTCCCCTGTGTGTATGTAAAAGCTGTATGGGAAGGCTGAAGCTACAACACACACACAGAGAGAGAGAGAGAGAGAGAGAGAGAGAGAGAGAGAGAGAGAGAGAGAGAGAGAGAGAGAGAGAGAGAGAGAGAGAGAGAGAGAGAGAGAGAGAGAGAGAGAGAGAGAGAGAGAGAGAGAG